GGGCCTGGCGTGCTCCGGTCCATGGGGTCACGAAGAGTCGGACACGACTAAATGACTAAACAACAACAACAATGCCAAACAAAAAAAAAATACAACTTTGAAACTGGACCTCAGCAAACCACCAAATTTGGCAGAAATATAGCAGATTTTCTGCTCTTGCCCTGTGCCAAGTTTGGGGACATGTGAACATTTTTAGTTATGAGTTTTTAAAAGTAAAACTATTTTATTCCCCTTCCCCAATGCAGACACCAGCAACTTTTTGTGTCCGCAGATTTAAAACAGTTCAAATGCACTGAAAAGACCAAACTTGCTTAGAATGAAAGAGAATTGTTTGTCTCAGCTGCTTTTTTATTTGGAAGGAATCCAGGCATCAAGGGCTGTAATGCTGAATTTGAAAAAAACAATTTCACTGAGAAAAAAATTATGACTTTCTGGATTTCTTAAGAATTGGTTATCAGCACAAATACTCTAAACCAGTGGTTCTTAACCTTTGTTACTTGGATGCTTTTGAACTGCAACTCCCAGAAACCCCCGTCAGGACAGCTGGTGGTGAAGGTTTCTGGGAGTTGCAGTCCAAAACTCCTGAGTAACCCAAGGTTAAGAACCAGTGTTCTAAACCAGGGGAAGGCAGATTTGAACTTCTGACCCTGTCACTCAGAACCAAATTAAATTACTCTCAGGAGGAGATATTTTTAACTCCTTCTTTTATAAGGGCATTAAACAGAGTTTCTATTTCTGGTTTAAAAATATTTTAGAAGGTGTTTTAAAAAATAGAAAATAAATATTCAGAAGTTCACTAATTTAAGCTGTGAAATTACTCTTTTTAGTGTCATGGCGACAGATGGTCTTATGCGATGTTATGAGAGTTTGGAGATCTACTGCGCCAATCCTGTCACTATACAATGTTTGATAATTAAGAAAAAGCTGCAAATATGCTATCTGCCATCAAGTCACTTCTGACATGTGGTGACTATATATAAGTTACTAATTTCCAAAATGACCTATTATTAACTGATCTGTTCAGATCTTGCAAACCAGTAACATCTAGTATTAGGTTATTCTCTCTTCCTACTGCCCCCACAAACAAGATGGTCTCTTCCAAAAAGTTCTGTTCTGATCCTGCAAACTAACAGTTGTAGCTTCTTCTATGGGGTCAACTCAACTTATATAAGGTCTTCCTCTTTTGGTTGTTGTGGGTTTTTTGGGCTTCTTGGCCATGTTCTGAAGGTGGTTTTTCCTAACGTTTCGCCAGTCTCTGTGGGCGGCATGTTCAGCCATTAGTTCCCGGCCGTGAAAGCCTTCGCGAATACATTCTTCCTCTTTTCTTTCTACTCTTTCTACAGCAGAGGCCACAGTGATCACTTTGCTTTTTTTAAAAGTGAGTGCCCATCAATTTCACAATTGGTAAATTGGCAACAGCCATAGGAGTATCTAAACATCAGGGAGATACTTACAGCTCTGCAAGGAGAAATGTTTCTTATCAGAGGAAGTTGATGCTGCTCCCACTGCCAAAGGCTCTGTGTGGCCCAGCAAGTACTGAATAGAACGGAGCTGGAAACAGGGATCTGCCAGCAGCACAGCTGTTGCCCGCTCAGCCCTGGAAAGACAGAGAGAGAGACACCATTTTAGAATGGCAATGCATCCACCACTCAGAGCAGTCCTACACTGTAATACTTTGTCAAATGAGTTAGCACAGGAAGGAGAAAATATGCTCTTTTCATCTTTAATAGCAATGTCAGCCAATTAAACGACTACACACACACACAAGTCATGCTTGTTATCAACCCCAATGCTCTGAGGCTATCAACTGGTTATTTCCCTTCCTCACTGGCGTTCTGGTACAGCAAGGAACGGTGTGATGGCAAGGGGAGAGGAAAAAAAGGGGAGGGGACAGCAGTCCATGGATCTTTAATAGGATTTGGGGGAGGTCCGGATGCTACCTTTTGAAGATTTATCTGCTTGGGTTAAGGGCTTCTTCTCTTTGGGAACATCTCTTTTTATACCTGAAACGAAGCCTTCAAAATCCAGAACATTTGAAATATTGTGGGTCAAATGGCTTGTACAAAAACACACAAAATCAGCAAATATCTGACTAACCCGAACCAAACAAGTCTCACATAATCAAAGGCCAAACCTTATCTCAAAGGTATGGTACAGTGGTGCCTCGACTTACGCATGTCCCTACTTACGACCAGCTACGGCTGCAAAATTTTGCTTCGGCTTGCGGCTGGAGCTTCCACTTACGAACAAAAAAAAGGCAGGGGAAAAGGGTGGGAAATTCATATTGCTAACCATTGGTGGCGAAGAGGATGCTTCTTTGTACAGTAGCTCTTTTACCCCAACGGTTAGAGCAGGAGTCCCCTAGCCAGTCCAGACTCCTGCAGGCCGGGGGCATCTGAGACAGTTGCCTGGAGGGTGAGGCTGTGGAAGGCGGGCGAAGCTTGGGACTGAGCCGTCCGACGAAGCAGCCAAAAGGGAAGGCCAACCTGGGGAAACGCCGGGGCGCCTGAGCACTCCCCGGGGTGCAGGGGCTTCCGAGGGCTCGCCTGGTCGGGCGGCTTCCTTTGGTGCCGCCTCTGTGCTGGCCACCTGCCTGCCTCTGCCGGAGCAGGGGGTGGCGCCAAAGGAAAGCTGTGCAGCTGGGCGAGTGCCGCTGCCGCCCGACGGGCTCCTTCGGAACACCTGCAGCTGCTCTCCTCCACCCCCGTCAGCCCCATCGAGGTCAGTACAGCGAGCCCTCGGAAGCCCCCGCTGCCCATGCCCCGGGGAGCCCTCAGGCACCCCGGCATTCCCCGGGCCGGCCTTCCCTCTCTGGACGGCTTCCCTTCCCTGAGCCGGATGGCTCAGTCCCGAGCTTTGCCTGCCTTCCATGGCACGCTTGGGAGAGCCAGCCCCACCCGGAGCCTTCGCCTCCCTGGGGGGAGGAATTGGGTCCGGTCCCCTTGCCGCCCAGAGTTGCAGCGGTCGCCTTGGCTACAACAGGATCGAAAGAAGCTTGGGACTGTCTGGTAAGGTAAGGTGCTGCTTTTTGCCTTTTAAAAACTGTTCTGAGTGGCTTTTGCAAGGTGGGTTTGGGCTGGGGGATTTATGTTTCTGTGTTGTGTTGTTTTGTTTTTTTGGTGATTTTTTTGTGCAGTCCCTGCTCTGATGTTTATTTTTGGGTTTTGTTTTGGTTTTTGCAGTCCCAGCGCCTTCGGGGCTTGTTCTGTTTATTTTCAGTTGTTGTTGTTTTTAAAGCCCCAACGCCTTCCAATGGGGCTTTCTGTGTGCTTTATTTATTCATTGGAATTTTTTAAAAATGCTGAAACGGATTAATTGTGTTCCAATGCATTTCAATGGGAAATGGTGCTTTGACTTACGACCATTTAGAGTTACATACATCTTCTGGAATGGATTATGGTTATAAGTCAAAGCACCACTGTTTTCTGGGATATTAAACAGGTTTTGAGCAGCAGATTTTTTATTCTTCATTTGCTCCCTTTTTGATTCAACAGTGAGATGCAGCTGCCTAGCAACTGTATTGGCTTCCAGACTGCAGCTGCTATACCAGCTTAGCCCCAAGAATACAGAACCATGACTTCTAAGAACAAAAAGGAGTGCAGAGACAATAGCAGAAAATCAGGAAGGATAAGGAACATATCTCAAGGAACGGTTGGGCATTTCAACATATGGACTAAATAAAACCTGAAGGTGCCATATATTCTGAGTATTGTATTTTTCCCTGTATAAGATGCCCCCATGTATAAGACACCCCCCACTTTTCTAACCCAAAATATTTTTTTGCAAGAAAGCGTAAGGGGGAATGCAGGAATCAAAG